TCAAAATACATTAGAGTTTAAATTAATGTAACACCAGTCTTGATGCCAAAAGGCAGCTAATAAAACCTACTTTCCTCTTTTCAGGAGAGAGTTAAATAAATGGCTTTGTTGTTGTTTCCTTGCTCAGTCATTCCCATTGTGATTAACTTTCCAACTCTCTTTTCTTGGCATTTGCCATGTCCTTCTCCAGCTCATTTAACAGATGAGGAACTAAGGCAAACAGAATTAAATGACTTGCCCAGGATCACATAGCGATTTGAACTCAGGTCTTCCTGACTGCAGACCAGCACTCTATCCATTGATCCCCAGAGCTGCCCAGTTAAGAGCTAATCAGTGTGGAATGCTGTCAGACAATGATTGATGGGAGTTTGCTTTTTTTGTGTTGTAAAGGAAGGCTCTATTGTGGGATGGGGTGGTTATAGGGAAGTGTTAGTGTTTTGCAAAAAGCATCAATTAAAAAAACAACTCTCAATAACAGAGAGTTAGCCACTGCCCAGTCAATTGAGATCTACTTTGCTTTCAATTATTTGATACTATAAGAAGTGTTGCTATAAATATTTTGCTACACATGGGACTTCTGTTTCTGTGTTTATCCTCCTTAGGTTAAATGCTGAGCAATGGGATTTCTGGGTCAAAGGGATATGAACATTTTATTTTCCTTCTTTTAAAATACTCGCTAATTCCATTTGACTTATCATTTTATTAAAGCCTACAACCTGTTAACTTTTCATGTTAGTTTCTGTGTAAATTGTTGTTGTTGAGCCTTTGTTTTTGAAGAGGACTAATGATATCACAAAGTGATGTCTTGACTTTGCTCATGAATTGAATTTAAGAGAGGTATAGTTGTACAAAGTCATCAGCCTCATTCTTCCTGAGTCATCGAAGTCCAGTGGTGAGACAAATGTCAAAATGACTGGCAATAGCCCAAGATGCAGTAGACGAACTTGGTGTCTTTGATGTCTGACCAAGCTCTAAGCACGGCATCTACTTCAGCTGCTTTCATGGCTATTGGAGCAAATTGTTCTGATTTGTCCATCCCAGGGGAAATCTTCACATGCTTGGGGTAGACATCCCCCTAACTTACTGATAGGTTTGAGGCCTTTCAGTGAACCTCAACCTGGTTTACCCTGTCTACCAAGATAGTTTTACCAGGCAAAAACCATGGTGTAAATAAATGCTCTTGAGTTTTATATGCCTTCCGTGTCTGTGTACCAAGTCTCTGAAACTACCCTGTAATCTTGTCCAAAGCAAGAACATTGCCTTTAAATGCTTTCTATAGCAGCAAATACACTGCTATGAACCCACTGAAGGCCCAATAAATGTAGCTGACTAACTTACCAAGTTGGCCATGAATGAAAAGTGGGTAATAACTAGGAAAAAAGGATGTGGTTATCCTAAAACCAAGATTTCCCCTAAAAAAATTTCATGTCCCATCCCCCCATCTTCTAAAAGAATTTAATACAGATTTTTAAATTGACTGGCATTCTGAGATTTGTAGTTCAAAGGGACGAGCATATTCCCTCTTACCTTTGAGCCTCTGCTCTGTTGAACACTGTTTGTGTCTTTTTAAGAAAACCTGGGAGAGACTTAAGCCCCTTCCAGAAGAAAGATCTCAACAGACCTAAATCACTTTCAAGGCTGAGAAGGAATCTTTAATTACAATCTTTAATTACAAATCCCAGGATGCCATTTAGTTTTCAAACTTCTATTACAGAGGGGTAGGGATAGATAATTTCTTCTATAAATGCAAATCAGCAGTTTCTCAACTTTAAGAGAGTTGCCTAAAGCACTAAGAGGTTAAATGACTTGCCAGTTTGTGTCAGAGGAGAATTTGAACTCAGGTCTTCCTGACTCCAAGGCCAACTCTCTCTCCACTAAGCCATCCTATCTCTCATCACTAAAAGCAACTTCCTAAAATGCCAAGATCTTGAATGCCTCTATCTTTCCCTTTAAGCCCCTTTCCAAAGGAAAAAAAAGAAAATATAGATGGGGTAGCTAGGCGGCACAGTGGATAGAGTACTGGCCCTTAAGTAAGGAGGACCTGAGTTCAAATCCAGCCTCAGACCAAACACTTGGCACTTACTAGCTGTGTGACCCTGGGCAAGTCATTTAACCTTAATTGCCTAAAAATTAAAAAAGAATTTTTTTAAACATAAAGAAAGTATATGCTAAACTGGCACTGAAGTCACATATGTTTAATGCAAGGCTCTTAGAGCATCAGTATTAAAACAGCAAGTAAATTTAATATTTATAAAAGGCTCCTCAGATACGTGGACTCTGTTTAGAGAAAAAATAGGGATTACCGATTGAAGACAGGTGGAAGAGCTTGTAAATTATTAAATACTGTAACTAAGATGTGGGAAAAGATTATAAAAGTAAAAATAAATAAATTTATAAAAGTTTATATTATAAAAGTTATAATAAATAATTATAAAAGTGATATTATATTTATATTATATATCATATATTATAAAAATTAAAATAAATAAATTGCAAAACAATTTGGATCAACTAAGTAATTTAAGATTAAAGAACAAAGGACAATTTTATAAATTTGAAAACACAGGCAGATTATAGTGAGGACAAGTTGGGCAGCTTATGAATTAGTACCGCCCTATATTTAAAACTATCACCTGAAAACCGGTTTCCTGGTAAGGGCTAGACTGGAAATGATAATCCTTTTAAAATCAACTGCATATATAAAACATTTTCTCTCTGTAGCAACAGGTACTTCCTGTGACCCAAAAGAATGATGTTTGGGATAAAAATAAATAACCCTTTAAGGATACATCAAAGGCATTTCCAGTAATTTTTTTCTCATCAGAGGTAAAATTCCCTTTGAAAAAATGCAACAGTTTAGTAAAACCCATTCTAGATTGTATTAATTTCCTCCTTAGTTTAAAAAAATGGGAGTATGACTTTATTGGACAAACTTCCTGAAAGGTTAGGATCAGAAAAATCCATCAGCTGATGGCCAACCTGATGAGTTTTTCAAAGGAGGCCAGTCCTCAGCCAAAGGGAAAAGTCTATTACCAGGACCATGTTTTCTAGCTTGTAGGTCTTTCCACAGCAAAGTTTTCAATAAATAAAGATTACCTCTACAGGGGGAAAGGAGAAAGGATGAGAGAGTTTAGGACTTAGAGTCAGAAGATCCAGACTTAAATGCCAGAGCTTCCCCTTGCTACTTCTAGGACTTCAACAACTCACTTAACTTCTCTCATCACTATTTCCTCAATATACAAAAATTTTTTAAAGTTCGATTAAGTGATTTTCAGGTCATCTTCTCAGTGTGAAATGTATGATCCAGGCCTTAGTAGACACTGGAATAAAAATATAGTGGAGGCAAACAAAAAAAAACATCCAAAACATTTTTTCTAGGAATTATATCTGATCCTATCGTGGCCTATATAGGCCATTCCTTCTTTGTTATAATAGCAATTTTGTCTTAGTAAGAAAGTTGCATAGCTGTAGGGGCAGCTAGGTGGTACAGGGGATAGAGCACTGGGCCTGGAGTCAGGAAGACTCTTCTTCATGAGTTCAAATATAGCCTCAGACACTTACTAAATGTGTGATCCTGGGTAAGGCTCTTAAACCCTGTTAGTCTTAGTTTCCCCCTCTATAAATTGGTCTGGAGAAGGAAATGGCAAACCACTTTAGTGGTTTGTCAAGAAAACCCCAAATGGAGTCACAAAGAGTCGTACATGACTGAAAAATAACTGAACAACAACATAGCATGCTTTCCTTCTCATTAATTATTTTAAAAATCCTAACATATATTCAGTAACAAATTACCATAATGCTTAAATAGAGTACATTCAAAATATATTTTGATTACCTATTATATGCAAAGAACTCTACAATAACCCAGTTCCTGTTCTCTAAGCACTTAAAATTGGCCTAGCAGGGGAGATATAAGACAGGTATACAATAATACTACATATAATAAGTACCACATGAGTAGTAACCACAATACTATAAATGCTACAGGAATTCTAAGCAAGGTAATATTCCAACTAGAGAACTGACTGATGATACCTAGAAGAAGTGTGCTTTGGAGTTGGGTCTTGAAGAATAGATAGGATCTAGATAGGAGAAGATTTAGAGGAGAAAATTACAGAAGTTCATTCCAAGACAAAAGAAAAGCACTCACGTAGCATGATATTCAATGGCATGAAGAACACCTCTCCATTCTCTCTTCCACACACACACACACACACACACACACACACACACACACACACACACACACACACACACACGCACACACACGATGAGTAGTTTTTCACAGGGAGAACCACAAGGAAATCAGATTCCTCTGGGAGGTGAGGGGAAACAGGAAGCAAATTAGGGGATAAAGGACACACACAGTTCAAGCTAGGATTGTAGGGGTAGGGGAAGAATGAATTCAAACTTTATGTACTTCATAATTTTACCTAGGTTCCCAAGGACAAAGTGTTAGTCTTTCCTATTCCTATTAATGTATAAACGATGCTATCTTAAATCTTAATAAGAGGCTTAACTCTATTAAGCAAAGGTGCTACTTAAATTCAAAGGAGTTATTTTCCAAGGGGGACATTAGAATCTTTTTTTTAAATCTACATTATCTAAATCAGAGAAGCAGCTCAGGTATTTCTTCCTACGGTTTGAAAAAAACTCCACTCCCTATTTGCCTCAATCATCAATGCTGATGCTCTCAACATTTAAAATTCCCTAGATAGATTTCAGAAGGTATCTCAGTTATTGAAGATTAGCATTTTTTTTATCTAAAGGTTGTATCTCTGCCCTGAGACATCCTTAGGGCACTTGATTGATTGGTCCAATGGTACTTCCAATTCTAAGTAGAGACTTGCCTTTGAAATTTGTCCCTTCAACTGTGTTTAAACAAATGATTTTCTAAGGCAAGCTATTGATGTTTGGAGAGGAAAAAACCCCATGTACCCACATACTTTGTGTTCTGGTTTGTTTGTTTGTTTGTTTGTTTTTTAATGTCTGCTTCTTACCTGAATCCAGAGAAGAAGTAAGAATGTCCATAGAACTAGAAGTCTCACTACTGGCCTCATGCCTAGGCTTCTGTTGTAGCTGCTGTGCTATGTCATAGGTTGGGGATAGGTCCAGAAAGTTGCTGCTCTCTTCTGAGCAATGATTTGATGTGGCTTTCTGGCCTTCCATAGCTCTCCCTGTCACAAACAAAACAAACTGATCAAAGTCATAGCAAAAAAAAAAAAGTTTCTCACGTTTAAGCCTAAAGAGTTTATTCTTCCTCAAATTAAATTGTAAAAGTATCCACACAGCATTTGTTTGTAAACACATCATTTCACCACAGAGAGAAACCATTAATAATTAAACTTGGAAGAAAGACAAGCAATTAGAAATTGGTCTTCGCTACAGTCCCAAGGAGAACAGAATGCCGCAGGATTACATCACATTAAAGAAAACTATAGAGACAAGGTTCGTCCAAGATCTCATTTTTCACTGCCTTCAGAAGTTTCTCTTTAAAGTCTCACATCTTGATCCAAAAAAGATTGCTGAACAATGTTGCTGCTTATAAAACATATTTCCCCCCACAAACACAAAGTTTTGTGTTCTTCCTTCCAAAGTTCCTCATTTTTACTGAGGGTACTACATTCCTCTCATTCATCCAACTTGCAACCTCAGGGTCATCCCAGGCTCTTCTCTCTCCATAGCCAGTCTCCAAGACTTGCACATTCCACTTTCACAATATAGCTTCCATCTATCCTTTTTCCTCCACTTACAGGGCTTCCACTCTAGTTCAGGTCCTCATCATAGCTAATCTAGATCAGTGGTTTCCTAAGTGGGAAAAGATGTCCAACTCATCCAAGGATGGTAAGATGGGCTGCATCCCACTCCACCCAGGATAGCTAATCATGGAGCTTGTCTCCAACAGAAATATACCTACCCTCATGCACTAACACTCCCCTCACTATGCCCTCTCTCTGTCTTCTTCTGAGCCAAGTGGCAGCCTCCCAGGACAGTTATGCTCTAACTGCTACACTAGCAGCTGCACAGATGCTATTGGGAAAGTTCTGATGCCCACTCACCCACCACCATCTCTTCCTTGCTGGGGCAGGTGTCCTTGGAGAGCAGTGATTGGTGAGTAAGAGCTCCACCTCTCCCCTTTTCATGAAGATAGGACAGAGTGAGTCATATAGGATGAGCAGTAAAGGATGGGACGTGCTTAACATTGACAATCTTATTATATCATCTTTCCTTCCTCTTCCAAACTTCCCTATTACAGTCAAGGACACCACCATCCATCCAGTCACCCCCTTTTACCTTTCTAGTCCTCTTACACATTATTCCCCCACCACATACTCATCGATCCAGTGACACTGGCCTCCTTGTTATTCCATGAACAAAATGTTCCATCTTTGGGCCCCAGACATTTTCTCTGGCTGTCCCCCATCCCTGGAATGCTTTCCCTCCTCATCTCTGCCTCCTGCCTTCCCTGGCTCCCTTTAGGTCCCAACTAAAATCCCATGTTTTACAGGAAGTCTTTCCCAACCCTTCTCAATTCTAGGCTTCCCTCTGTTAATTATTTCTTATTTATCCTGCATATAGCTTATTTGTACATATTTGTTTGCTTGTTGTCTCTCCCCCATTGGACTGTAAGTTCCTTGAGGGCAGGGCATATCTTTTGCTCATTTTGTAATCTCTACTGCTTAGTAAAGTACCTATCACAGGGTAGGTGCTTAATAAATGTCTATTGACCAGATGACTGACAGGATAAATGTAATTATCCTCACTCTCCTATATGTCACATAGCCAATCAATAGCTAGAATCTGCCATTTCTCCCTCCATCTTGAAATAGATTGAAAATACTGAAATAGACTGAAAAAGAACTTGAAATAGAAAGGAATTTGTAATACACAAAGGAAGAAAATTTATAATAAAGGGTTACATTTCTGTATAAAGGGCTGATGGCTAACCTTTTATGGAATGACCAAAGGCTTATCAATCTAGAGCTGGATTGGACCTTAGAGAGCAACTCCCTCAATTTAAAGATGAAGAAACTGAGGTTCGAAGAGGTCAAATGATTTGGTTCAAGTCAACCAGATATTAAGTAGTATCAAAAATTTAAAGCTAAAAGGGACCTTAAGAGTCATTCAGTACAACACACTGATTATATAGATTTGGAAACTGAGACCCAGAAAACTCATAGTTAGGAAGTGATAGAGCTAGGAATGGAATCCAAGTCTCTAATTCCAAATCCAACCCATTCTACTGTATCATACTGACCATAAATGAGATATGTAATTATTTCTTTTTAAAAATTATTTAGTATTTTCCCCAATTACACGTAAAAACAATTTTTAACATTTGTTTTTTAAAATTTTGAATTCCAAATTCTCTCCTTCCCTTCACCCCCCTCCCACATTGAGAAGGCAAGTAATTTGATATAGGTTATACATGTGCAGTCATGCAAAACGATCTATAATTATTTCATCAATTATTAATCATATTGTCCCTATGCTGTTCAGTATAAAAGTATCTAAAAAGTACATATGGATCAGACAACTAGGGCAATGCCTTACTATATAAGCTACAATTATTTGTACCCTACATTTGGCCTACGGGGTAGGAAACTCATTTTATAGAAATTTCCCTCTGTTTCTCACGGAGTCTAACATAGTGCCTGCTAATGCTAAAGTATTCCTTATCCACAGGAATCATACTGACACTTACTTTTAGTCTGCATTGTATTGTTAATTAAAGGCTTTCTCCTTCCCCAATGGGCTGTCAACTCATCCTAGGCAGCATCTGTGACTCACAGTTCTTTTGCATCCCTCACAACACTGGCCACAGGAATTTATCAAGCATTGACGGTAGGCTCAGGATTGGACTAGATACTCAAAGACTGGAGGTAAATAACCAGTTCACAGGCAGGTGGTTTAGTGGAAAAAGCACTGCACTGGAGTCAGCCAGTCAGTAAGAATTTATTAAGGGTTTACTATGGGCACCGAGGTGGTTCAGTGCATAGAGCACTGGGCCTGGAATCCAGGAAGACCTGAGTTCAAATTTGACCCCAGACATTCACTAGCTATGAGACCCTGGGCAAATCACTTAACCTCTGTATACTTTAATTTGCTGGAGAAGAAAATGGCAAGCCACCAGACCTTTGCCAGGAACACCCATATGAGGTCACCAACAGTTGGACACAACTGAACAACAACAACAACATGGGCCAAGCCTTATGCTAAGCGCTTGGGATAGCAAGTAGGTGGCAAGGTGAATACAGCACCAGACCTGGAGTCAGGAAATCAATTCACATCTAGCTTCAGACATATAGCTGTATGACCCTATATGTGTAAAATGGGGATTCTAATAGCACTGAGCTGTGAAGATAAAATGAAATATTTGTAAAGCATATTACAATTAAAGTGTTATATAAATGCTTCTCTTATTGTTACAAAAGCAAAAAAAACCTCTGCCTTCATGGAGCTTACAGTCTAATATTATATATAAATAATTAGGCACACACAAGATATATACAGAGTAGATGAAAAGTAATCTCAGAGGGAAGGTGCTAGCAGCTGGGGGACCTAGAAAGGCCTCTTGCAGAAAGTACAAGTTTAGCCAATGAAACTGAGGCAGAAGTGAAGAGGGAGCGAATTCCAGGCATAGAGGACAGTCAGGGTAAAAGCAGGGAGACAGGAGATAGTGCTGTGGTTGGGAAACAAGTAGCCTACATGCATGGAAGGGAATAAAATATAAGAAGACTGGAAAGGTAGGAAGGGGCTAGGTTGTGGAGAGCTTGAAATAACAAATAGAAGACTTTATATTTGATCCTAGAGCTAAGACGGAACCACTGGAGTTTACTCAGTAGGCATGTGACATGGGCAGAGTCATGCTGTAGAAGGGACAAGAGACTTGGGTTCAAATCCCACCTCCCAAGTGTCATTGGGGAAGACATTTAACTTCCCTGAACCTCAGTTTTCTCCAAGGTAAAAATAGGGCTGGACTAGGTGGCCTCTCAAATCTCTTTCTAACTCCTTGCCTAGGATTACATGGTCAGTCCTCAGCAACATCCTTTAAAAGGCACATTTGTCAGCCACAATACTACCTAACCTGTGCCCTCAGCCTTTCAACCCCTTTGGAATATGTTTGCAACAAGCAAGGCCACTCTGGAACTATATGAAACAGGGTTACCAATTACCATTTTAACATGAAAGGGAATACTTTAACAATGCCTCTGGCCACACAAATTAGACCAACCTCAAATAATTCCCCAAGTATTCTTCACCAGCTTTCTGAAAGTCTAACTAACTCAGGGATTTAATCAGTGGGAAAGAACTGGCATTTCTGCTGGTGGGGAAGTTCTGCTGGGAATGCAAATCCTGGCCCTGCAGACTGTAGCACTGGTCCGGAATACTATTAAATATATGAAGATCAGTGATTTTAAAGGAAATCAGGGATTAGAAAGAATTTGTTATGGATTTAAAGCCAGCACTTTAATTTTGAAGCAAACTACGTAGGTGCTGAATAAAGAACAAAAGGTTTACTGTATTTGATATAATACATTCGATCTCATTAAAGAGGCTTTCCGCTCTCCACTACTTGAAATGTACAAGTTATCTTCCTAACTGGAAGTAAATCTAATCTGAAAGCTGCAATGCTCTGTACAACCACAAAAAAATTACTGCTAAAAATATTGGTTCATTCCATCGAATCATTTGAATTCTAAAGCTGGAAGGGCCTTAGAGCTCCTCTTTTTTTTTTTTTTATAGATAAGGCCGAGACACTTAAGTAATCACATTAGGTCTAGTGGAAACACACTGGCCTAGAGGGTGTCAGCCTCATTTGTAAAATGTTAGAGTTGGGTTAAATGAACTTAATACTTTCTTCCAGTTCTAACATTCTATAACTAATTGGCTTGCAAAGATTGTAGAATCATAGACATAGAAATGGAAGGGCCCTAGGAGGCCATTTAACCCAGTCATTTTACAAAGCAAGTTAAAAAACTGAGGAAGGTTAAGTGATTTGCCCAGTCATACAGAAAGTTAGAGCAAAGGTGATATTTGAAACCATGATCTTTGCCTCTAGAGCCAAAGTTCTTTCTACTGTTATGCAGTTTATTTCCTTTTATTATCTTTCTATTCATTGCTTTGGTGTAAGTTATCGTTAATGAGTCATTTTTCAATTGTGTCTGTTTCTTTGTGACCACATTTGGGGTTTTCTTGGCAAAAATACTGGAGTGCTTTATCATTTTCTACTCCAACTCATTTTATAGATGAAGAAACTGAGGTAAACAGGGTGAAGTGACACAACTAAGTGCCTGAGGCCAGATTTGAACTCACGAAAATGAGTTTTCCTGACTCCAGGCCCAGCACTCTATCTCCACTGTGCCACCTAGCTGCCAGTGCTTTAGTCTAAATTACTACCTTAATACATTTAGATTGGAAGAGCAGACAAGTTTTCCTTTGGGAAGTATCAACCTGAGAAATCCATGCTATTAGGCAATAACAGTATTGATGACAATGATGATAATAATTGCTGACTTTACACCGTGATTTGTAAAACATTTCACACACATTATCACATTTGGTTCTTACAACAGCTTTCTAAGGCAGAGATTCTCAAATTTTCTGGTCTTAGGGCTGCTTGATATTCTTGAAAATTATTGAAGACAAAAAAGAACTTTTGTTCATGTGGGTTATATGTATTGATATTTACCATATTAGATACTAAAACTAACAAACTTTAAAAAAAACTTTATTGATTTAAAGAAATAGACCCATTACATGTTATTTTTATGAAATATATATTTCCCCAAAAAAATGTTAGTGAGAAGAGGCATTTGTTTTTTTGTTTTTGTTTTGTTTTGCAAAGCTCTTTAATGTCTAGCTTAATAGAAGAGAGCTGGGATTCTCACATCTGCTTCTGCATTCAATCTGCTATAATATGTTGTTTTGATTGAAGTATATGAAGAAAATCCAAACTCACAAAGATATGTAGCTGGAAAAAAAAGGATTATTTTACTAGGCAAATAACATCTTAAATTTTTTATGAAACCAGTTTTGACCTTGGAGACCCCCTGAAAAGATCTCAGGGATATCTATGGAGTAGTTTGCTGTTAAATGTTTATTTAACAACCAGTTCTCACTGGGGAGAAAATTTATAAGTGACATACTTTAAAGTTTAATCAGCATCATCAATATTTTCTCCACCACTTTCTTAAATTTAAACAATCAACAAAACAATAAATCAAGCCCTGAATTGTAGCATTTGCCAAAGTACATGTTCACACTGAAACTTTGATGTTACAGCTGGCTCCAGAATATTCTTGCCTCCCCCCCCCGGAATCTTTGGACAACACTTTGAGAATCATTGCTTTAAGACAAATACTAGTTATTTTCTACATTTTGAAGGAAAAAAAACCCAAAACACCTATGTCTGAGAGAGGTTAAGTGACTTGCCCAGGGTCACACAACTCATAAATGTCTGAGGCAGAATTCAAACCTAGGTTTCCTTACTCAAAGTCCAGCACCCTAGCACTAGGCCAGGATCTATTGCCACATATGTTCTACATGTGGATGAATCAGTTTTAGCTGATTTATCCTGAAACAACCTGAAAGTTCAAGGTTCTCAAAGAAACAAAACCATACCAGTTGTTTTTTTAAAAAATTTCTGTCACATTAGCCAACCCAAGTTGTGGGTGCCCATAGCCGTCTCTTTCAGGACTCTGTAACATACCTCTTGCTGCTATCTCCCTGGTCTGAAAACCAGACTGATGAAACATAATCAGTGTTTAGCAGCTGCAATGGTGCTAAAATTCTTCGACCTTTGACTGCAAAATAGTTTGACGTCAACAACACCCTAGTGTTTTATCAGAACTGTGATAAAAAGAGATTTCCAAGAAAGAACAGCACACCACAATAAAAAAAATTTATTAAAAAATTAACATCATAATATATTAAATACCAAACATGTTCTAGGACTGGGCACTGGACCAAGGAAAAACTTGCTGATAAGCAGAACTCCTTTTTAAAAATAAGAACCATTTGTATTTGCAAAAATAACTTTAGTGCTAAGTAAAAACATCCTATAGCACTCTTACTGGAAAAAACATAAAGGACAAGGAGAGCTTGAGAGCCCCTTCTAGTAGTCTGGGAATAACTAGATTTACAATCAGTTTAGTTGATGGTTACCTTAAACTGGCTTTCACCCTATATGACCTACATCTACACCTGTCTACACCTTTGGAAGGGAAATATCTCCTTTTCAAGAAGTGTTCATTTTCATTTCTTAATAATACATGCCTTATGGTGTCACATTGGTTAATACGGTAATTTATTTTGCTAAATTGCTTTTTAAAAAATTCTTCCTGGCCTCCCTAATAAGGAAAACAGGGAAGTTTATAGTAGGAAATTAATGTGATGTAAAAATGAAAGATATGAATAAAGTTTTTTTAAAACTATGTGCATCTATAATGCTTTATGTGGACATTTCTTCCTCATGCTGAGGAATAAAGTACGTGTTGTAACCATATATATTCTCAGGCCCTAACCATACAAAATACAATATATCAAGAGAAGGGGGAACCTGGTTTTTTTTTCTTTTCTTTTTATCAGTTAAGGCCATATATGAATATCAGCTTCATTTAGCTTTTTTTCCCCCTTAAAGAGACCAATATAAAACGTTCAACTCATATTTTAAAATTAAGAATATAGAATATTATGCAGTAAGTGCGATGTACTTTGCTACAGATGGCACCTCACTGAGAGGTAGATTAGGGGTTGGAACGCAGGAAAACTTGGGTTCAAATCTTACTTCTGACACTTTCTGGCTAACTCTGGGCAAGTCACTTAATCTCTCTGGACCTCGGTTTCCTCATCTGTAAAGTAAAAAAGTTGAACTAGAAAGCCTCTGAGATCTCTTCCATCTATGAGCCTGAGGTTATAATCAGTTAAGGATGACGACTTTATTCTAAGTAAATAGTACAGCTCAGATGCCACCTCCTCCAGCAAGCCTGTCCTGATTTCTGCCCGTTTTTAATGTTCTTCATACCCCAACATACTTTGTATCGGTGAGGTTTCATCTCCTCCAGGCAAATGAAAGCTCCGAGGGGCTGCTACTGTTTCTTTTCTGTCTTGGAACCCTAAGTGCCGGGCACATAGTGGGTGCTCAATAAATTATAACTGCATTTAATATTGTTGGTTTTACTGCATTTTAAACACTGTTCTGTGGCGGATGAGAAATGTCTTTGTGCGGGGTTGGGGGGTGGGGCACCTGAGTCGGATTCCAAAGGAAGAACAGGTACCTTGGGTTCATAAATCATGGATTGAAAGCTGAAGAGGCCCTCGGGGCCCTCCAGGACCACCAGAGGAGGAACCTGAGACTCACCGGTTAACCGACTTGTCTACAATCACATGGGTCAGAAATTTCCAAGCCGGGATTTGAACCTGGGCTCATCCACCTTTCCATTGCTAACTCTAAGTAACAGTAAATGACCCAGAACGCCACCCCGCCTTCCCCCAAAGCCGTAGCCCTGCAGCACGAAAGCTACTGTGGCTCCGGCTGAGAGGGGGAAAGGAGGAGGGCTGGGGAGGGAGAGTCAGCTCCATAGCTTTACTACCAAGCACCGACACCATTCCCCCGCGGCCCGCAGACCCACCGCCGCCTCCGGTGTACAGAAACAAGAGACTTAGCATTTATGCACCGGAACAATACTCACCAGCCTGAGGCGGCCGTACGCACTTTGCTGAACAGGAAGTGCAGCTACCATCTTTGTTAAGGGAAAAATAGACTCCAACAGGAAGTCGTGTCACCGTCTTGGGTTTGAAGGGAAAGGCCGTGGCAGCCATTTTGATTAAGGGCAATTGCTGCTGGAAGAAAGCTTTGGCGGTTCCAGCCTGGTTGTGGAGGGCAAGGCACCGGGGATGTGAGTGGTTACCCTGCAGCTACTGTTTAAAGGCAGGTCAGGGCAGTTCTGAGGTAAATTGTGAGAAAACCATTAAGTGAAAATGAAAAAATGACAAAACTCAGAAGAGATAACGAGAAATTAACAGCATAAAAAGATGTTAGGTTTCCAGATCACTTAATCACTTTAAAAGCATTTTCACGTAGATGATCTCACTTTTTAAAGGCTAGCTCTGTAGCGTAAAAAACATTCAGGAGCCATGAGACAGAAAACACTGTCTGCACCAAGAAATTCTGAAATGCCAAAATGGCACTAGACACTAGCCTTTCTCTACAATTCAAAGGAGATCATAAACATGCTTTGTATCTTCTGGACTTTACTGCTCCTAGAAAGAATACAATATCGAGTTATCAGGGACTTATAGATTAGCTTACAATAGTTTATTGAATTAGTTACCAAATGCTAGTTGAGGGCAGATTTTGATAAGAAAGTGGGTGGAGAGATTATAAAGTTATTAATAACATAGGTTTGTCTAGAGAGCAGATCACATGGTATGTCCTCTAACCAAAAGGAGTATTAAGAGCTGCCTTGACAGAAGTCACAAAAGAGTAACATGCAGCCTGAGACAAGTCTGTGGAAGGGAACCCACTTACTTTGCCTTGGAGGAACCAGAAGGAGAGAGAGAGATTTTGTTCAATTCTGACTGTGTTTCCAGTATACAAAAGGATAGGATGTCATTGGCATGCGTTCCCTTTGTTAATTTGGGTTGGCAATTTCTGTGCAATTTATAATTGTGGGCAGATGCCTAAATCACTGAGAGGTTAAATAATTTGCCCAGTAAGAGTCAGTAATTCCAAAGGCAGGGATTGAACCCCAGTCTTCCTGGATTTCTTGGATTGCTGTTCACTGTGCTATTGTTTCTCAAAGTAATCTGAAAGCCTTTCACAACCTGAGGTCAAAACTATTTTCAGAACAATACTAAGGCATTATTTCCTATTAAAATACTTCTTTTTCTAACTACTTATCTGTATGAGGATGGGTATTCTCTATGTACTTCAAAAAGGGTAGAGAAATTATAATGGTATTAATGACATGGGTTTGTGTAGAGAGCGGTTCATATATACACATATCACAACATACTGATTTAAGCAAATATGAGAATCTAACTATCTTCTCTTAAGCTAGATATTAAAGATATTTGCAAAAATATGTAAAACTGCTACTCTTATCACTTTTTTATTTTAGAAAACATAGTTACTTTTTATTTAAAATATTATTATGGGTTTGTTATTGTTACTTTTAAAACAGATTAATATTTTAAATATATCCATTTTAGTTTTCAATATGGTAAATGCTGATAGATACAATGCACATACACAAAAACTCTTTTGGGTCCTCAATAATTTTTTAGAGTATAAAGGGATGGCTTTATACTGAGACCAATAAGTTTGAAAACCATTATATTGCACTATGCTGTCTCTCATTTAAAATATATACAAAACAAATATAAGGTAATTTAGTGAGAGGAGAGGAGGGAAGCCAGGAGAATCAAGAAAGACAATGTAGGAGGTTGCTGTTGTTGTTAATCCTTCATTTTTGGAGAGGACCAATGACATCACAAGTGATGTCCTGACTTGCACGTAAATTGGATTTAAGTGATGGAGAGTTTGGGAAAGTCATCAGCCTTTTTCTTCCTGAGTCCTTGAAGTCCAGTGGCAGGACAAAAGTCAGGATGCCTGGCAATGGCCTGGTATGTAGTGGATGACCATTAATGCATATACACATATGCACGTAAACACATATACACATACATACATACATATCCCTTGGAATATATGCGTTCTTTGGGAAATAATGTGTACCTGACACTTTATAGTATGCTGAACTGTCCAATTTATATTTGTGAATTATATAGATGGTGTTGTTTATGTTTAATTATCTCACAAAATATCACTGTCACCTGAAAATATAGCTTCAGTTTTCTTCCTAATGCCAACTCTGATAAAACTGATCAATATTAAAGTCCAATAGGTGAATTACCATCTTATTTTGATAAACGTATCCATAAATGTCATCCTATCGTGAACAATAGAATGTTCATTCTCATATCTTAGCATATTTATACTATATCCAGTGAAGTTTATTATTTGCCAGGAACCTAAAGCTATAACCAATTTCCCCAAAGAAAGCATATGTAGGAGGCAACCTTTCAAACTCAACTAAGAGGGAGAAGTGAGGGAACAGGATGGTCACAGGCACAGGTTTGAGAGATGGAATGTCCCTACTAAAATATCTCTAAAATACTATTATTTCATATTTGTTAGCTCACACTTACATAACATTGTGTGGTTTATAAGAGGAAGTATGATGTAGCAGATTTGGCTTTAAAGCCTGAAATACCAGGTTCAAGTTCTGCATGTGACAGATATTATCCATGTGACTTTGGACAATCACTTACCCTCTCAGTGCTCCAGACAATGTTCTAATACTTTAAGTTGCAGAGAAAATTCCAACCTTCATTGGTTGAGGGAGTTTCTTCACCTTCGTGTTCCTTATACCAATGAAGTCACCTGTCCAGTCCCTATTCCTTTATGATTTACATACTGTTTCACATGCATTCCCCCTCTCCCACTATTTGACCCTCACAGTAGTCCTGTAAAGTAGGCGGTAGAATCTCTCATTTTGCAGATGGGAAAATTAAAGTTCAGAGTCATTAAGTGATTTGTCTGAAGTCACATAGCTAATAGGTCACAGGAGCCAGGATTCAAATCCAAGTACTGTAACTCTAGGTAACAGGTAACTCTAAATCTATTAATGTCTTTTTTTTAAGGAGTGAAGAATGGTGGGAGGCAAAAGTCATGTTTTTTTGTCTCTCTGTCTCTCTTTCTCTCTCTCTTTCTCACTCTCTCTCTCTCTCTCTCTCTCTCTCTCTTTCTCTCTCTCTCTCTCTCTTTTAGCACTAGCTGGTAAAGCCTTTCCTTCCTCACTACTGGCTTACTGCCGTAAGTACTTCCCAGCCACCAGCATACCCTTCTCCTCTGCCTTCTAACCTCTCCACCAGGATTACTGATTATATCCTAGGGGAATTTCTGATGGTAGCAGCCTTTGTTTTTCCTAGCATACCTAGCATTACAGCATGGGAGGCCGGGAAAGGAGGCCAGGGTCCTAGTTGGATTAGGCAAAAACTTCTTTATCCAAGCTAAGCAACCCAAGGATGGAGTTGGGGGGGGGGGGCGCACGGTACTGAAGAGGAGGAGATGAAGGTGATGGTCAGAGAAATGACATCATCACTGGAAGGGCCAAGAAGTAGTTAATCAGCCTTTGCTTGAAGACCTCCAGTGTGGCCAGGGAAGAAGTACTGCCTCCATTCCCCCTTTGTTCAACTTCAATTGTTAGGAAGTTTGTATAGACATTAAGCCAAAATTTAACATTCTTCACCACCCATTGCTTCTAGTTTTGCCCCCTGGGGTCAAGCTCACAAATGTATTTCTTCTTCTTTAAATACTTGAGGATCGCTACTATGTACCAGTCATAAGTCTTCTCTTCTTTGAGCTAAACATCCCCAATTTCTTCAACAGATTCTCATATGGAATGAACTCATATAGCATAAATCCTGACTCCCTTTCCCTTTTATACTACCTGCCTCAAAACCAAGATGCATGTAGAGTCAACTCTTGATTATCCTTGGAGAGTTTTTCACTCTAATATATAATACATTGTACAGTGAAAGATTTCTGAATCCTTAATAGCAGCCTTCCCTCTGCCATGCAGAGTTGCTCCTCCCACTCCTATTAATTGGCTTTTGTTCAAAGAATGAAATACATGTACATATATATGAATGTATATAAATCATATATATGATGAAGAGAAAGGGAAATCTGTTCCTTCCCCTTACCCCAGAAGTGAAAGTGAATATATTCCAAAGTCGATTGTAAATGATTTGCCAGTTTCTTTGCTTTCTTGAATTATACAGATTACTGCTTAATTCCATTGGCAACAATTATAAAATGACCACATAAAATTGTATATATGCATATATAAAATATATGTAAATATATGCATGTATGTATGCATGCATGTATGTATACACAGACAATAGGGAGAGAAGGAAAACTGCTGATGACCATCTTCCCCCTCCCCCCCAAAAAAATCGTGGTAAATGATTTGGGGATTTCTTTGCTGTCAAATTATCTAAGCTTCTTGTTCCTATTAGCTATAATTATAAAATAACTTACAAAATGTGATCTCAAAATGACAAACAACACTATTTTGAAAAACACAGTATTTTGGTATTCAGTTTTATTTTTATAACATTAAAATCAGCAACCTTAGCCACATTTCTTTTACAGGAGTCATGTTAGGTGAAAGAAATATCTCAGAGACTTTGCATTCTTTGTTTTCCTAATGAGGACAGTATTTTCCTTATCTCCTGCTTTGTTATTTTGACCCTTGATCAAATTTCTCTTCCTGGTGCTGGATAACTTTAAGCAAGAGTAAAAATAAAAATAGCTAAATACATATAAAGGTCAAGTAATTTATTTATTTTCCAGATTTCTTTTATTTCCTAACAAGCAATGTGACAAAGTAAGTTAAGAATGCACCAATTGAAGTACTTATCATTGTCGGATCATACCTAGAGTATTATGTTCACTTCTGAGCATCATATTTAAATAGACAGATTGAAATATTGCCAGACCATGGCAATCTGGAAAAGGGACTTGAAAACGGGTTGTAAAAGAAATAATAGTTAAAGGAACTAAGATTGTTTAGCCTGAATAAGAGACTCCAGAAGACGAAAGGTTGATATGATAGATGCCTTCCAATACTTGAAATTTTCTTGTCATTTTTCTGTGTGATTCCAAAGAGAAAAACCAAGACCAACAGATAAAAATGATAGGGAATCAGCTTTAGTCTTTTTTCTGCATGGTTGATTATTATCTTGATGTCCTCTGTCTTGGC